TGCTGCTGCTGCTGCTGCTGCTGCTGCTGCTGCTGCTGCTGCTGCAGCAACACAACATATATGCAGCAGCAGCATGTGCATGCATGGATATGTTGCTGCTGCTGTATCTTCCTTGGATGTCTATAACGCTCCTTGTATTGCTTGGCGAGGGTTTAGGGTTTAGGGTTTAGGGTTTGGTTTCTGTTCTTGCTGCAGCCTGTCTGTCTCTCTCTCTCTCTCTGTTTATTTATTTATTTATATTTATATATTTATTAATATATTTATTATTTATTTATTTATTTATTTATTTATTTATTTATTTTTATTTTTTGTTTACCTGCATCTGCATCATAGAACCAAAGAAGCGGTCAGAAGCAACATGCGAAGATGTATACAGCCGAACCTGAGCAGCAGCAGCAGCAGCAGCAGCAGCAGCAACACCAGCTGCAGCAGCAGCAGCAGCAGCAGCAGCAGCAACACCAGCTGCAGCAGCAGCAGCAGCAGTAGCAGTAGCAACAGCAACGGCAGCAGCACCAGCTACAACAGTAGCAGCTGCAACAGCAGCAGGAGCTGCAGCAGCTGAAGCCGTTGCAGCAGCAGCACCACCAACTGCAGCAGCAGCAGCAACAACTGCAGCAGCAGCAGCAGCAGCAGCAGCAGCAGCAGGTTCTGTATATGGGGGGACTATACCTTTTGTAGTCTAGGGGAGAGGGGCCCCTTGTGCCGCAGCGCAGCACCAGCAGCAGCTGCTTCTCTTTCTTGCTGCTGCTGCTGCTGCTGCTGCTCGATTGCATCTATTACCCGCTGCTGCTCGTTGAAGGCATCCAGCTGCTGCTGCAGCTCCTTCTTCTGCTGCAGCAGACTGGCCAACTCCTGCTCCTGCTGCTGCTGCTGCTCCTGCTGCTGCTGCTGCTGCTGTTGCTGCTGCTGCTGCTGTTGCTGCTGTTCCGGGTGCTGCTGCGGTTGCTGTTTCTCCTTCTGTTTCTGTTTCTGCTGCTGCTCCTTCTCCTCTTTCTGCTGCTGTTGCTGCTGCTCCTTCTCCTCCTTCTGCTGCTGCTCCTTCTCCTCCTTCTGCTGCTGCTGCTGCTCCTGCTGCTGCTGCTCCTCCTTCTGTTGCTGCTGCTCCTTCTCCTCCTTCTGCTGCTGCTGCTGCTGCTGCTGCTGCTGCTGCTGGTGGTGTTTGATGGCTTGATCTATATCATGCATGCGTTGCAGCATATGTTGTTTATGCTGCTGTCTTTTTATATCTTCTTCTTGTTCTATCATATATGTTTGCCATGTATTGATTGCTGCTTCTTTTTTTCTTGCTGCTGCATCTATGCCGATGCTGCTGCAGCTGCTGCTGCTGTCTAGCTGCTGCACCTCTACACCGTTACCATCGGGATCCAATATAAAACAACTCCGACCCCACAACTCCTGGCGAGCCTGCATACAAAACCCTAAACCCTAAACCCTAAACCCTAAACCCTAAACAGTAAACACTAAACCATTCGCCCTGAACCATAACACACGCTATCTTAGTAGCGATCATAATCACTTTTAGGGTTTAGGGTTTGGGGGTTTTGTGTTTTAGGGGCTAGGGTTTAGGGTTTGTGTTTTAGGGTTTAGGGTTTAGGGTTTAGGGATGAGGGTTTAAGGCCTAGAGTTTAGGGTTTGTATTTTATGGTTTGTAGTTTAAGGTTTAGGGTTTGTGTTTTAGGGTTTAGGGTTTGCGCGTTAGGGTTTAGGGTTTAGGGCTTGTGTGTTAGGGTTTAGGGTTTAGGGTTTGTGTGTTAGGGTTTAGGGTTTAGGGTTTGTGTGTTAGGGTTTAGGGTTTAGGGTTTAGGGTTTGTGTGTTAGGGTTTAGGGTTTAGGGTTTGTGTGTTAGGGTTTAGGGTTTAGGGTTTAGGGTTTACATCTTGATCAGGTATCATGGAGGGGACTTGTTTCCTTTTCGCAGGGAAGTGCAGCATCCTTGCCCCCAGCTGCTGCAGCAGCTGCTGCTGCTGCTGCTGCTGCAGCTGCTGCAGCGACGGCAGCAAAAAGGTAAACCCAAAGAACCCGTGGTGACCTCTATCATATCTCCCTCTTTTTTTTTCGTAGCTGCGCATGCGTGATAGACTCGGCAGCAGCTTGCTGCTGCTGCTCCTGCTGCTGCTGCTGCTGCTGCTGCTGCTGCTGCTGCTGTGACTTTGCTGCTGCAGCAGCAGCTCCTCCTGCTGCCGAAACGCAGCAACAGCAGCCATCAGACTCTCCTCTTCTTTCTTTATTGCTGCTCTCCCTGCTTCTTCTTTCTTTCTCTGCTCCTCCGCCCACTCACGGCTATATATCAACTCCAACTTAAAATCCCAGGGGGCCCCAGAGGGGGCCCCCCAAGGGGCCCCACTAGGCGCCACCTGTACCCCTTCTTGGGGGCCCCCTCCTTGGGGGGCCCCCTCGGGGGCCCCCCCTTGAGGGGCCCCTTGGGGGGCCCCCTCCCGAAGGCCATCTTTGGCGACCTCTTGGGGGGCCCCCTGGGGGGCCCCCTGGGGCCCCCCCTCTTGGGGGGCCCCCTGGGGGGCCCCTTGGGGGCCCCCC